CGCACACGCACACGCAAATGCATATATATGTGTGTGTGTGTGTGTGTGTGTGTGTGTTGTGTCTGTGCGTGTGTGTAAGTATATATACACTTCGACAGGTGGGCTCGACATCATGGCGTGACCTTCACAAGAGAGTGAGTGAGCGAGGAGCGCTTCCCGATCTCCATCCCGCCAGCGCCATCTTGGTTCGGCATCCTCTGTCCCGGCTAACTTCTGCTTATAGGTAAAAAAGTGTTTAAAAGTGTTTAAAGTGTTAAAAAAGAAAATTAAGTTGCTATTTGAGGGCTCTGTGGGCATTCATTTGGTTATTTTTGTTTTAATACTTGGTTGTCTCTAAGGATTGACCGTAATGGGAAAGAAGGTAGTCTTGAGACAGGTCTGTGTAAATATTTAACAATACTTTTATTATCAACAAAATCGTCACTGTACTATCATGATTATTACTATCATTACCATCATTACATTGTTTACTGCTCTCTGATTATTCTTTAAAGAGTAATATAAGATTTTTTTCCTTTATAATGACACATACACATATTCTACTAAATTCTATGGGCGGGTGCTTGATGCTCAGGGTGGTAGTTTGTTGGCGTTAAGTACTTTGCTTGCGTACATTGTCACTTACAGTTGCCCCTTCTGACTAGCCTGGCGCGAAAAAGGAAGCCACTTAGTGTAAGCCTCCCCTGCCAAACATCTGTCTCAATCGTCAGAACTTCTGCAGTCTCTCCTTATGGCCACCCATGGACACTGGGTACTTTTCGGTCCTAGGCTAAACTGTGGAGGATCTCGGAGAAGCAGGAGACCCTAGAGAGGCGGAATCATGGCCCACCGGCGAGTATACACGCCCTGAGTCCATACCAACTCCTGCCCCGAAAGGCACTGGACGGCTCTCTGGGGCACGCCTTGCCGCTTACACATCCCTCACCAGCAGTGCCTTTTCGGCATGATGGTGCTGAGGGGAGGGATAGGCGCAGGTTGGGAACGTGGGTTATCCATCTCGTTCGGGCACTGGTGGCCAATGACCCAGTGTGAGGTAACTCCAAGGGAACCCCACAGTTGCACCCTCTTATATGGAGCAACATCAATGAGGGTGGTAGAGGTGGGCATCCACCCGAAGTGCCTGCCCGAGGCATAACCTCCGGAATTGGATCACCCATTTTTTGTTCGTTACCACATATTTTCTTTTCTGATATGTGTATGGAGAAATTTGATTCCACTTTTCCTCAGCAATCATCAACAGAGACACAATTTCATCTTTTCTTTATCATCTATGATTTTTTAAACCTAGTTTCAACCATCAGAAAAAATCCACTCTTCTTTATCCATCATCATCAATAAAGCAAGAAATAATTCGCATCTTTTCTGCACATTATCCAAACGAAAGATTTCATGGCCTCGTATCCGCGACAGGGACAAGTACCTCGACGGAGCACCTATTAGTGACTACGACAAGAACTGGAGGAAGAGCCAGGGCTTCAACTCGCCACGCTACTTCTACTGGTACAATTATTGGCTCCCAACTCTCATCTCCTCAGGGAGGCTGGCTGCTTCGAAGGAGTTCCTCAAGAGGGTCAGAGACGCGCGGAGCATTCCCGGGACCAATAGTCTCGGCATAGCTAAACTGCGGGATGCTGTTATGGACACCTACGGGAGTGAAGACCTAAAGACGCAGTTTAGCAACGCCACCTTCACCTTCCGAGAATTCCTGGAATTCATTCTTTGGGTGGACGAGTTGGGTATGAGGGACCTACACTGGGGCACGTACACGGAGCAGTGCCTCCCATGCCAAGAGGACTACCAGTACATCCTTCACTTAGAGACAGTAGATGCAGAATCTAGAGTCCTTCTGCAGGATGTAGGATACCCAGAGGATATTCGGTTGGCCACCAAACACAGAACGAAGGGCCTCTCTCATTCGCTCAGCACAAATGATCTCGAGTATTATAAGGACCTTCCCAAGGCTTTGGTGAATAAGATTATTAAATTCTATGAATATGATTTCGAGCTCTTTGGTTACAACAAAGATATACTGACGGTGTGAGCATCAAGAGAAAATAAGGTGAATATATACAAATTTGATACGATTAAACAAAATAGTTTAGATGCACTAAACAGACAATGATGTATTTTTTAAAGTAGCGAGCATAACGTAGTTTGATATAATTCATTATATCAATGACCTTGTATCGTTGGTGTTTTCACAAACACCTTTATCTAGAAAATTATCTCAAAAGATATTCCCCCTTTCCAGATGCCGTCTTTTGATTATTCTTTACATCATGATAATATTTCGTGTCATCAATGTCCAGGTGGCATGACCACAATAAATGCCAAATTTGCACATTCACCGGTTTGTGAAAACACCGACGATATTTTCTCGCGAGTTCCTTTCTAATCAATTTTAGTGTCAGAACAACTTTCCATTGTGCAAGTAACTAATAGATAGATATATATTTTCTGACCTTTGGTACCTTTGCTTCTGTGCCTATCTTGTAATAAA